GTTGCGATCCGTTGCCGGACACGGAAAAAGACAAAAAGACAAAAAAAAAAAAAAAAAAAGTGAGTAAGGTTTCTGTTGGTTGTATAATTCTCTAACAACTGCACGTGTTTTCTGAATTTACAGTACTGTAATTGTAATAATATCACCACTTATTTATCATAATTCAAATCCCCCCAAAAGTACATTAAAGCTGCACCCACTTTTTCATTCTGACATGTAATTTACTTCATCATTTTATTGTTGTAACAAGCATAATGTTGTTTATTGATGGTAGTTATATTCTAACTCTTTGGGAAACAGTTGTTAGGTGAGATGGGTTGTGGAATCAGTTTATTAATCAGTTATTAGGAAGTTTTTCAATTTTAGTCTACATAATAAATGTAGTTCCTTTTTTCCTTGTAGCTTTGTAATTTCCTCATTACAGTATTAATTTTACTGTTGATATTTTACTAACCTGGATGCTTTATTTGGATTTTTAGGATATTTCCTTTTCAAATTATAAAAGATAAATGCTTTTTAAATGAACAAAAACAAACTGTATATTGTATTTGGGTTGTTAGAGCATTGTAGATGCACAGCAGAATCATACACTCATACAGGTGAATAGCAGAGCCATATAGTTATAGCTCGTATTACATAGTTTTATATTCACTGTAGGGATTCCTTCCACAACACGATGGTGATGATGATCATTATTATAGTTATAATTTATTGAGTTTCACCACTGTGCGGTTTACATACATTATCACATTTAATCCTCACAACAGCCCTGCAAAACAGATAGTTTTATTCTCATTTTAAAAGTGAGAAAAGTGAAGCCTAGTGAGACAAGGAAAGTTTGCTTAAGTTACATACATGGTACAAGTTGCAAAGCTAGAAGTTGAACTAATAGCTAGGACTCCAAAACCCATAATTAATCTCTTTGTAAATGTTTCTATTAATTGGGACTCCCTATATTGCAAAGGAAGTCAATTCTAATAATGTGTATGTTGTAATTTATAGCAGGCAAAGTTGTTTAATGTATAGTTTTTGATTTAGTCCTTACAGTAGCCTTGTAGACAGATTCTGCCATTGGACAGCTCTCAGAGTTTATCTGTAGAGTCCAGATCTCTTACTCTTGTTTGTTAATTCTTTTTTATGTAATGTCACAGATAAATGGGCTAACCTTGTCCACATGATAGCCCTTTAGATATTTGACAAGAGCTATTATCTTCCCCTTATCTTCAGGTTACACATTCCTAACTTTTTTTTTTTTTTGTCTTTTTCCGTGTCCGGCAACAGATCGCAACCCTCAGTGTTGCCCCCGTACTGGACCAGGGACCGGCAACGGGATTGCAACCCTCGGTGTTGCTCCCGCACCTCGCTCAGCCAGTGAGCGGGAACCGGTCTGTATGTGGGATCCGAACCCTCGGGCGGGAGCGCCGCCGCGCTTCCCAAGCGGTGCACTTATCCAGTGCGCCACCGGGCCGGCCCCTACACATTCCTAACTTTATCCATTCTTTGTATGACATGGGTTATAAAGTGTTTAGAATGGTTCCTGAAACATAGTAAATACTATATATGTGTGTTAAATAAATAAATGATAATCTTAATCATTTTCTTTTAGTAGAACTCTAGTTAGTTAATTCTTCCCTTTGAGTATGGTGCCCAGAACTAACCTTAGTGCTGGAGCTATAGTAGCCTCATAAGCAAAGACAACAAGGAGATTATATTTCTTACTCTAAAGCCGCACGCAGTTAACCTGTGCAAGAATGTGTTAATTTTTTTCCTCAGGTGATCTGCTCTCTTTCTGTTCTATCCCTTCTTGAATTTATTTCTTTAACCTCATCACAAGACTTTATATTTATTAAATTTGTTTTGTTTTGGTCCTTTATTTTAGCTGGAAAGCTTGTTAAATCCTCATTTGGTCACTATTTAGTTCACTGTTCATTAGCACTTTCAGTCTTTACTGATCTCTGATTTGATAAACTCTTTTTGGTGTGTGTGTGTGCATTTGCAAATTGTTGACTTAAATGGAATAGGAGCAAGGATTGAATATTTTGTTTTGTGGTAAAATGTTGGTTGACTAGGAATTGCATTTTCAGAGCTATCATTCATTTTGAGAAATATTGTATTCTGGGTCCAAACATCATGTATATAGTGTTCAAATATGCCAAATGATTGTGATTTATCACTTATTTAATAATAGCTCTTTTTGGATGGGGAAAAGAAATAATAAGTTAAATGTACAGAAAATTGTTAAACTTTATATCTTTAGTTATGTACCACTTATTTTCTTTAGTATAAAATTAAAGATTGAGTCTAACTAAGCCTTTTTTCACATTTAGAATGTAAAGATTTTTCTGAATTACTTTTTGCCATTGGTGTTTTGGCAAAGCATCATGGTAGCATGCCCATTTTTATAATTAATAATGATTTTACCTCTTCATCACCTTTCGAATAGAGAATGATATGAAACATACAGAAGACTTTCTTGGTTTTAACTGAACTTCCTATTATATTTGTAATTGTGCTTTTTCCCTTGAGTTAAATATTCTTAAGAAGTTAAGCAGCTTCTTTTGGATGCTAGTCAGAAGCTTTTAGGTGCCAGAGTGATGAAAGTCCTGGATATGTAAAATGCTCAAACCAACGTTTCCTGGATGTGATAATTTTCTGATCTGTTCTGAGAGATTGGGCAGTTTTTAATGCTTTAATTACATTGCTTGACATGTGACAAGCCATCTTGTCTATATACAGTTAATTTTCATTTTTATGGAGTTGTAATATCTTCTTGAAGCTATTTCACACAGTGATTAGAGATTTCAAATTTAAGTTAAATTTCAGTTGAGAGTGTTCCTGCTAATGTAGATAATTCAATTAATTCACAGTAAAATGGTTAACATGTGCCACTCTGCCTGGTGGC